AAGGTGAAGTGTCTCTCTACAGAATCAAGGATGTGCACTAGACACCTGCTGCCCGGCGAGTCCCCAGGGCTTACTGATGTCTCTAAGGGGAACGTTAAATGCCAAAACCGAAAGGTGCAGGTGTAAGCGGGGCTGAGCCCAAAGCTAGGCCCAGGCTCACACTGCCATGCTCGACGTGACCCAGGATGCACGTGAAGGGATTTTATGCTTCCTTACAAAATCCACCCTCACCATCCCCATGTACACACCCTAGTCCCATACATTTTTTGGAGTTATTTTTTATGGATAAAAAATTACAACAACAACAACAACAACAAATGAACTTGTCGAAGCATAGTTTCTATTCTGACTCTCATGCTATAGTGAAGGTAGATTAGTGATGTAATCAGGCTTAAACCTCAGGGCACGCTCCTTACCCAGGCACATGGTCACATCTTTGTAAAATTTGAAAAAGACACTTCAATCGTGATGGGTGAACACACTGTCTCTTCTCCTTGGCTTCCCTGCCATCGGGCATCGGAGCAACTGTGCACTCGGGGCCCTGGCTACCAGAAAGGTGAGCTGGGAGACATTTATTTTGGGTTAATGGGGTATATTTACGTGGCTTGCGGTCAACTCTGAATATGGTTAAATTATCAGTTGCTGTTCTGCTGAAGGAATGGATTCCAGGAATCCCACCACTGCCATGGCGCCCTCCCCTCGCTCTGTGCATGAGGAAGGTGCAGAGCAGAGGGTGGCCGCACGGGGGCAACAGTCTATGCCCCTGGCGCCTGCGGTGTGAGTGTGGCAGGGGGGAACCCAGTTTGAACGTCAGGCACCTGAAAGCACGAGGAGAAGATTTCAGTGTCATGGACACTGAGTCAAAGCAGAAGTCCTTGCCTGTCGGGGACACTGGCTAACTCAGAATACAATTACAAACCCATCGTACAGTGATGTTCTTTGTCATCTCACTCCTTTATAAAAGCAGCAAAAATCATTAAGATGAGACGATAAATTTCAAATGGAAGTAATATGGAAGATTTCGGATTACTCAATAGTCTCGTTAGTAAAGAGTCCATGACATGAATACACTGGAAAATATTTAAATGGCTGGCTGACCTGACATAAAACACTGGTGGTGATGACGATAATGTCAGTGAGGACATTGATGACAAACTGGCTACCAAGAGTCATTAGTTCAATGGCCACAACAAAGAGACAAAGCAGAGGAGAACGTCACAAAAAGCCAGAAGATGTGACTCAACGACGTGACCCACCATGTCTCCCCTCTTGTTCCAAGAGGGCCTCTAACTCTGCTCTTGGTGTCCGGATAGAGAGAAATGCATTCAGATTAAACCTCAAAGAAAGGATTGGGCTGAATATGGTTAAAGTGAACTCATGGAAAGCCTGAGAATTAGGGGGTTTGCCACTCCCCCCACACATCAACCAGAACAGGGACCTCTCCCTGGCCCAGGGGTCAGGCCCCGGGGCGCTGACCACCCCAACAGGCATCTTGCTCCCATTGGGCCTCGGTCGCCATGTGGTGTTACTGTAAGTTCCGTCCTTCCAAGTCCAAGTCTACAAAACCCCCAACACCTGGGACCGCCGTATGACTTCCACAGTTTAGGGGCTAAAACAGAAAATTAAATGCCAGCTATTTCAACAAGGCTACAGAGAAGTCAGCGCCAGTCAGAATGCTGGTACTGCTTTCGTGTTGGATCGATGCACTCACTTTCCACATCAGGAGAGGTTAAGGACGCGAAGAGAAAACTGTAATTTTCAATATCGTTTTATGCTTATATTAGTGCTGCTATAAATTACATTGATCATGTTATTGTGATCACATGTTATACTCTTCACCTTTGAGAATTACCACAGAACAATGTCTAAGTAAATCATTCTCTAAAACTCATGCTGTTCATCTACCCAACGCCACACCATGGGACTCCACTGCTAATCATTATTTACGTCATTAACACTGACATCCTGACACACACACACAAAGATGGGGTCCCTTCTCTCATGACAAGAGCAGTACCTACTCATTAAAAATACTCTGAAAACACGGATCCTAGTGCTCAGCCGAGGCTGAGACCGCCAGTAGGGCTCCCTCCCCACCAGCCCGCCCCCGCTGCTCCCTGTCTGGCGGGCACACCCTGCGTGCGTCTCCCACCCACAGGCTGTGGGTGACACCCGCGGGCTCACGGTGGTGAGGACACTGCTGCTGTGGCAGACGGCCAGTGACCATTCTGCATCGATACGATGCTTTTTAAGGGGTTTGAACACACACACATATTCTGTTTTGATTCTTTTGCTCATCTTTGCCACCATTTGTACGTGATCGGGAATCGTGCCCAGGGTAGCACAGACCACCAGCTAGTCAGAAGCAGGCATTAAAAGAAAATAATAATGACATAGAGGTCTCCTGGCCTAGCCACTTTTAAGCCAAAGAATAGCTTTTTTAAGATGAATGAGATGAGAGCAAAGCCATGCACAACACACTCTGCTCTTCCCCACGCAGAGGAAGCCCCGTGGCACCAGGCGTACCCGGGCCATGGAGACAGCAAGCCAGCAGCCCCTTGGGGGGCTCGGAAACCAAAGAGCTTGGGGAATCGGAGAACTGGGACACGGACGCCGTGGCCGACTCGCCCTCTTGCCGCTGTGCCTGCGGATTTAAGCGGGCACAGCGCGCCCAAGCTGAGCCTAACACGTTCACATGCGAGGGGAACACGCCTGGCCATGTCTGGAGGGCGGGTGTGGGTGTGGGCACGGCAGTCTGTCGGCAGGCTGAGGAGCCTCCTGGCAAGCCAGTCCTCCTGCACTGGGAGGGACACAAGCGGGGCCAAGCGTCAGAGGGGAGCGGGGCTTTGAAAGCGTTCTGGAGCAGCTGTCACTTGGTGACGGTCCCGGGGGAAGGAGCTGAATCAAACGGGGGGGGGCACGTCGTGCGAAGCACGTCGAGAGACGTGAGAGTGAGAGAGAGCCCAGCTCCGTGGCTCCCACAGCCCAGCGCACTGCCAGGGAGGACGTGCCTGAACACACAGTGCACACGCATGTGTGCACGCACACACACACACACACACACACACAGAACACAGCAGCCGGAGCACGAGCGCCGGCCGGCACGGGGAAGCAGCAGGAGAGGCTGCGTCAGACCCCCCGGCCGGACGCCGAGGGCAGAGGCCACAGAGAAGTGTGTTCAGACATCTACGTAAGAACTTAAAAACTCCTATTAAAGAAAAAACAAACTCAGAAACAAAGTGAAAAGACAAGTGAAAGACTGAGAACGGTGTCTGTGTCGTACGCGGTCAACCAAAGACCAGCGTCACCTCAAACTGCTCCTGTAAATCAACGAGATGACATCACCACCACCAAGCCCCCACCCGAAAAGGGAACGAAGACCATGAATGGGTAATTCACCAAAGGAAAGATATAAATGGCAAATATGTATGTTTTTAAAAAGCGCAAGCACATCAGAAACCAAGAGAAATGCAGCCGTCTTGTACTAAGAGCCTTCGGTGGTGAAGTGGACCTCACTGTAGTCCCGCCGTCGGTCTGCACACTTGGGTGTGAGTCTGGGTCTCTGGGTTAAAACCCCAGTTCTGTGCTGCATACTGACTGTGGGATCCTGGATGAATTATTTAGCCTCTAACGACCTGAGGACTCTCGTCAGTAAGACACAGAAAACAACACTACCTACGTCACAGTAGTGTCAGGAGTGTTGGAAGTGTGCATATGAAGCACCAGCACGCAGTAAGAGCTTATTTAGTCTTTGCCACGCCCTTGTACTGGGGCCTGCTCTGATATGGTGGGTAACGACGAGAGTGAGTGGGTAACAACGAGATGCCTGGGCCATCTGACTTCTCCCCTCAGCGGGCAGGGCGACCACGAGGGCAGCACAGGGGAGGAAAACCGGGAGGAGGGGCTTGAAAGGGGGACGTCACGGCACCCACGCACCATGAGGGAACCTTGGCAAATCGAACGACACGTGTCAGTTTCACACCGTGGGAAATGAGGGAGGAAATCAAAAGGCGAAGGGCAAGAACTGGGGGGTGGGGGGGGGCAGGGAAGGGAGAGGAGAGCTGACTGGGGCCGTTGGACACTGAAACACAGGGACAAAGAAACCATTCAAGAAGGGCCGTCGGAAGAACACGGACAGACAGGACATGACTCCAGACAGACAGACAGACAGAGAGGGGAGGGCAGAAAGTGCGTAGAACATGACCGGTACCAAAAGCCTGTGTGGGCCATGGAGCAAACACAGACGTCGCGGAAACACGCGTGTAAGGAGTCCCACACCCCTCTTGCAGCCGCCCCTCAGGGACACCAGCCGCAGACACCCGGCCAGCCCCGACTCTCCCACCGCACACCCCCGGCCCCCCAGGCCCGAGACCTTAGCCTGACGGTTGCTTCTGGCCCGACGTCTGGAGGTTGTCCGCTCCCACACATGACAATTAAAAATACTAGAGTTCTGCTGCGTATCCCAAACAAGAAGGCTAGAAACAATAAGACATCCTCCGTGGTTTCTGACATTCCACCAAAGAAAAAGCTCAAACCACTCCCCCTGGTACCGACAGGCGTTTCAAAGCCGGCACAGACAGGCTTTCATCTAAGTGAACTGGTCTCAAGATGGTAGTTTCAGCTTGAAATTGGCGAAGTCTCTCTGACTTCTCGCATGTAAAAACCTTGCATTTTAATTGTAATAAAGTGCGAATCCCTTTTGAACCCGAATTTTTAGAAAGTGTCGTGCACTGTGGTGATGCAGAGGACGTTGATGTACTCGCTTCCTTGAAAACGTTTTCACGCACAACACGAGAACACGCACCTGCTTCCACTCGTCGCCTGAAGGGAACGGACCGTGTGCGAGGTCTGTGGTTCCTTCTGTTCACACAACCACGCCAGCTGGGCTGTACCGTGGACTGGCCCAGTGTCCGCTTCCTTTCAGCGTCTCTCCTTCGAAGAAATTGCCACCTCTGGTTAAATAACCTCTGACGACCAATCAAATCCAAGGTATTGCTTGACAATGAGATGCTTTATTAAACTTGATACATGAACTATATAAGAATTCTGAAAAATAATGGGTATCAAAGTATTTTGGATCTAGGTCTCTGCATTACAAAGGCTGTCCCCGAGAGATGTCATCTCAGGCCGCAAGCACACGCGTGACCAGAAAGCAGCCACACCCTTCCCCGGTGAGGCAAGTCCCAGCCGACCTGCTGGTGCTGCTGCAGCCCTCGCAGCCCAGTGCGGCGTCCCGGCCCCTCCCCCACACCAGGTCCTCTCCCGACAGGCGGACAAATCCCCCGTCCAGCTCTGCATCGCTGCTTGGCCCGGGATCCACGCAGGGTCGGCCCTGGGAGAGCCGTCTTCCCCTCCACTGGACAAGTCTGCTGGAACTACTCCAAGATTCCTCGGAGGGGTGAAACTTCTAGAAAAAGAGAGAGGAGAAGGTCTGAGTTGTGAAAGGAATACACAGATGATCCCCCCGAGGTGCACCAGGGCTGAGGAGGAAGAGGAGGAGGAAGCGGGGGGAGCAGGCGGCTTCTCGAAGTGCTCCCTGGCTCAACTGCACTGACCGCTGTGGCTGGGCCGGACGTGTCACTGGAGACCGCCGCCCACTCCCTTACCGGGCACGGGCGTCTCCGCCAGGAGGTGCTGGTGGCCGGGAAACATCTCGGCGGAGTCTTGCTCCACTGCCCTCTCCTCCAGGTCGGACTCCAGGATGGGAGCACAGCCACCTGGTTGGAAAACACAAACAGCATCTCAAGCAGCGTGTGTGGGGGGAAACCTGCGCCTCACACGGCAGCCACAGCTGACGAACGCACAGCGATCGTAAAGGGAACCGATGGTGTGGCGGCCGTCCTCAGGAGCAGCCCAGGAAGAACAGTCCCACTGCCGCTCTCCGGTGAGAACACTGGGAACGGTCACCGCCCTCACAGGCACATTAGCCCGATGAGCGATCGCTGAGTGGCGGCGGCGGCCGCGGTGCTGTCTTTAAGCTCATCCTCTTCAAGGTCGGAAAGGACAGACCCCGCGCAGACGTGGCGCCCGCGCGGCCGTGGCCCTTCGGCAGGCACGCCCTTTAATCCCAGAGCGCGGAAACAACCGAACGCAGAGCGCGTGGTCAGCAGGGAAACAGCGCTTCCTTGGGCACGAGCACGGCCACGGCGGGGGCTGCTGGCACCCCGACACGGCGCCTGCGGGGGTTTTCTCTGCACTGAGACTCCCTCCCTGGACCCCGACACTTGACCGCACAGACACACACGCCCCATCACTCAACAGCAAAGCCACAGATGGCGTCGGGGAAGCTTTCTGTTCCCAGGCACTCCCAAGGTGGCCTGAGGACGAGCTGGCACCACTGCCCTCTGGAAACGCGGGGCGTACATCACCAGGTTGTACCCACCAGAACCCTGCAGGGGGCTCACGCGAGCATCCCCGACGGCGTCTGCACCTGGCTGGGCCGATCTGCCCTCATTTCCTGGACACCCAGGGACATGCGGGGTGCTGTGCACATTTTCTTCCCCGAGCCATTCTTCTCGTTAATGAAGTGTGATTTCTTTTTTCTTTTTCTGAGGTCTCCCACACACCGAGTCCAAAGCTTCCGTACGCAGGGTGGGCGTCACAGGTGAGGGGTTTATGAAGGAAGAGAGGGAGGGGTCGGCAGCCCCGGGTTGTGAACCACCCCGTGCAGCCCTCCGCATCAGCTGCGGCGAAGAAACCGACGCTGAGGAAGACCCGGAGGAAGAGCACTTTCACACGCGTGTCACACGAGACTCGGCCGCAGCCCCAGCGGGTTCCCGCCCAGGAAGTGTCGGGACTATCCGTCGATGCGATGGAATCAGCCCAGCCACACCTGAAAATGGCCAGGGCCCCACCCAGAAGAACCAGGCCTTCTTAAAAGCTGGATTTATCGGGGTTGACCCACAAGACCACACAGCTGTCACCAGGCTTGTCTTTAGCCTCTGTCCCAAGCCTGCAGGTCACGGTAACGATCACGACTACTGTTAAGCACTTTCAGAATGCTACAGGCTCTGCTCGTATTATCTCATTTAGTTCCTGCCAACCACACCACAAAATAGATATTATTCTTCTCAGGTTACGGAGAAGGGAACTAAGCTCTCACGAGACCTGGTAGCTCGCCGGGTCACGGGTCCCTGTGCAGTGAGACGAAACTCACACTCGGGCCCGACGATTCCCAAAGCCCGAGCCACCCCGTCATCCACCACGTGGCTCCCGGCCGCAGCGCCAGCCGAAGAGCCCTCGGCGCCGGCATGTTCTGTCTGCCCAGCGTGGCGGCTAGGGGTGCTGCTGAGCACCGTGAAGGCCAGGGCCATCTCTGGGTCCCGGGATCCTTGGAGAAGCCCAAGAAATGGCGGCCTTCTCCTCCTGGCCCCTCATCAACTGGCGAAGAAGAACCAGGGTGCGCGGGGACAGGGAAGTGCAGGCCTGTGAGGCGACTGGCTGGCGGAGAGGAAGGGAAAGAACGTGTTCCCCGCGGAATGCAGCCCCGATCCCAAGAAAAAGGCTGACGGATATGGCTCGGTTCCTCCTTCCAGACTCACTAGTGCCATCGAGTCACTGCTCCACCCCTGAGGCAGGAGAAGGGAGAAAGTGGGGCGAGGCCAGGACTGCCTGTTCTTCAGGCACCTCCCTTCGCCCCCAAGGAAGCTCCGGGAGTGGGGAAGGGCGTCCCAGCGGCAGAGGCGCAGGGAACCACAGCCACGGGGTGTCATCCGAACACACACCACGTCGTGTGCAGCAGGTGTGCGCCAACTGGCCAACGCGAGCGACAGCTGGGGACTTCCTGATCTGGAAGTCACAGCATGTGGACCTACTGTGTGCTGGGCACTCGGCTTCAAATTCCCAATGGATTAAGTCAGTTCTCAAACAACCCTGTAAGGAAGGGTGCGCTGGCCCCATGGTACAGGTGTCAATGTTAATTTGCGAACCAGGTGAAGATGAAAGTCCCTGGAGGTGGGAGTCTGAAGGGGGAGGGTTCACACAAGCTGGTCTACCCATGGGTCAAAGACACAGCTATGCAGGAAGGAGGAGGAGGAGGAGGAGGAGGAGGGGAGGAGCTGGCAAACCATTCTTTGGGTAGATCTGAGAACCTTTACTGACTTACTTTCTTGCAACAGCAGCCTCTGCAACCAACTGGGTGTGTGGGTGCGCCCGCTCCATTCCCGCAGGGAGGGGAGGATTCCCCACCCCCCCATCCCCCGAATGCAAGAGGAACAGAACAAGGAGACGCACTGAGAACCACCAAGGACCACAGACCTCACTCTGACTTGCCAACCAAAGCACCTTCCGTTCGCACGCGCGAACTGCCTGCCACCGGGGACCAGAGAGCACAGAACGTCGGGACACACACTAGTGACGTGTGCCTCGTCATCAAGATTCACTTGATGGGTGGAGCGGTTTCCAAGGTTCGCATTCAGATGTCAAAGATTTCTAATTCATGGGAAGTGTGGGGAAGGGGTGCTTTGAAAAGAATATTTCACTGTCTTAAGTCAAAGACCTCCCCTGAGAGACTCTGAGTAGTTAAAACATTTCCTGCAAATACAGCCATTTGGAAAAGTTTTATTCTTCATCCCCACCCCCCTGTACGTGTGCCCCACCCCCCACAGACAGGCATGCAGACATGTATGGGAGCTTTCCTGATAATTCTCTCTACTCTGCTCATTTTTCTAGTTTTTTAAAATGTATTTTACTTCTAGCTCGAGGACATATAAGCTCTAAAAAGCCAAGCATTTGGCAAAATGGAATAATGGGAGGAAGAGAGAGGAAGACAGAAGATGAAGAGAAAGCGGGGAGGGAAATGACTACTCATCAACATATTCGATTTCCTGTGCATACGCCCCCGTGTACAATATCTGGGGTGCCTTACTGAAGGTGTGGATGGTAAAACATTAAAGTATAAAAAGCATGTTAGCAGTTTGAAAAATACTACTGTTTTCCATTGTGTGAACACCTCCTCATGCAGATTAGCAAGCACAGCGAGGAAGAACTGTGGGTAGAACATGGAGAGGGACTTCCACAAGGGCCAGAGCAGAGATAAAGACCAAACGGCTCGCAGGAGAAGTGGGCTGTGCTTCCCCTGATCGACCCTCCAGGGACCCCTCCTTCCAAACCCGATGCAGATCGAGGGGCCCGTCCACCCCACGGCTGGACTTCCCATGCCCCGGAGCACACGCCGCCACTGGGAACGCTGCGCTGGCTGGAGGTGTCTGACGAGCGTGTGCGTCTGTTCTGACCCTACGGGCCATTGTGCAGAGCCCGCCCGTCTGTGAAACTGGGTTTGCGAAGGGGCTTGCTGAGCAGATGCCTCCTCCGAGAAAGAGACACCCAGCAGGAGGCTGCTCATACACACCGCAGGCGCAGCCCGCGGGGAGGAAAGGAAGCCCGGGGCGGTGCGGGGGGGGAGGGGAACGGGACACGCCGCTGGCCTGGGTTCCGACCGTGGCCGGGCGGACCAGCTGAGCACTCTGCCCTCCAGGAGGAGTAGCCGCCGAGCCCAGGCCTTCCTTGTCGCCACTTCCACTGCGCCCCGCACCCTGCTGCGGCGTGAGGGCGCCCCGCCCCTGACCTGATGCAGCTTCACAGCTCCAAAACTCAGCGAAGCGGGAGAAGACACCTTTCTTCACACAGTCCCAGGTTTCCAGTTCCAGCACACAGTGTCCGTTCCAGGGTCTTTTTAAACCCACTCTACCACTTCCCTCTCTTCCCGCACCTGCAGCGGTCATGCCGGCCACGCTGACAGCCAGCGGCCCATCCGCTGGCCACCGAGGTGGCGCTTGGTGCTGGGCCACAGCGAGGCGGGGGAGGGCCCCCGCGATGCGTGTCCGGCGCGACGCCTCGTGGAACGCTTGGGAGTTCAGTCCCACCGCCCGACGAGCTTTGATCCCCCCACACACGGTGAGAACTTGAAATGTGTTCAAGACTCTGCATGTACCTGTGTTTGAAACTGTTTCCATTTCACACCTCCCGGCAGAGACCAAGGGTGAGAGTAAAAGGGAGCCTAATATATTTTAAAAGGTCTAGCATGTGTCTCAACGAGCTTTAAACTCCCCATAAAGGCCGAGTGCTAGGTCCCTCGGGGGGTGCGGGCTCCAGCCCGAGGGTCTGGGCCGAAGCGAGCGGGGGGCTCCTGGCCCGAGGACGTTTCCGCAGCACCACGACGATGACGACGACGACGAGAGGCGTCCAGTGCTCTCTGGGCCGGACCGCCGCTTCGAACCCAGGTCCACCTCGTCCCGAGGGAGGGCTGAGCAGCACAGGGACAGAGCTGCTTTCGTCCACTGGTAACTGTGTAAACAGAACGCACCAAGCTCAAAAAGAGCCCTATTTACAGAAAAGCAAGGGCAGTCCACAAATCCAATGGGTTGGAATGGGTCCAGGGTAAGAATTTCTCCAGATGTCAGTCTGTAAACAGGGCTTCATAAAGTGAATTCCCCAATTAATTGTTGGCAAGAGTGGTCTCCGCACTATGTGAATGCATCGTGACCCCCCACCATATGTAGGTGACTTGTTGTCTGGCCCCGGGGAACGCTAATCACTCCGATGCAGCACAGCCCAGTGGGGGAAGGAGCTGGGGTCAGCGCAACCTCTTCCGACACGGAGAGACGGTACCATAGGGTTACTGCGCAGAACTTGGGAGCTCTGGTCCCTGCAGGCGGGGGGAACTCCCCAGTTCATTTGCGTGACGTGTGTTCTTCCAGCACGTTTATTTCTTAACCTG